ACTAAGCCCCTCTTGGCTAGGGGGCTATTCAATACCATGATTATACTTGCATTATGAATTGATTACCTTCAGTTGTTATTTCATAAGTTGTGAATTCAATTTGCTTAACCGTTTGATTGATAACTTATTCTTGTATGTTTATTAAGAGTGCACACTTGCTTTTCATGCAAGGATTTGAAGCTAAAATATAAGGGAGTTTCACCTAATAGTTACAAACTTATATTTGCAAGTAGTGGAGGTCGCTTATAAACGATCGTGTTAAGTGAATTCTTGGCAAAAGTTTCATGCTTTTCATAGTTACAACTTCCTTGTCAATGCTTATAGTTTTCATGAAACTTAATGATCTTTGATTGTACCTTTATTGTGCTTTTCACGTAGGGGACTTTTAGAGAATGCTTTGAATTGTTGTATGTGTTTTCCCATCAAATTCATTAACTTAAGGAGAACTTAAAGGTTAAAAAAGTGCTATCACAGTTAACCTGAAGTATTGAGTTTCATGACTTATTGAGAGAAGCAATTGGAAATCAATTTGAATGCAAGTGTGTCATGTGTGGAGAAGAACCCTCTAGTTACCCCATAGATATTCACCTAAATTTGCTTAAGAATCTGTTTAAATTGTTCTTGTTTTAATTTACTTATTTTCGCCCAAAACCAAACCCCTTTTACTTTGTTAAGTCATATTAGTTAGAACTTGTCTTAGATTGTGTTTTTAAGTGTTTTGAGCCTTTAGAAACCCAAATTTCGTCCAAATTGTGTTTAGAGCTCAAAACTGCCCAGTTTGTGTTTTTAGGCAGTTTTGAGTGTTTCTAGCTTGTTTTGAGTCTTTTAAGTTTGTTTTGAGTCTTGTGAGTCTTGTTAAGTGTTTTTAAGTTTATTTTTGTGTTTCTAAGTCAGTTTAGAGTAGATTAGCAATCCCTCCTAATCCCCGGTCCAGAACGATCCCTACTTATCCATACTACAATTGTCAACAAGAGGGTTTAATTTGTGTGTTTAGTTATTTTACGCATCACCTAGCATGGCATATACTCAGATTTAGCACCTAGAACTCATTAAGAACTTAGAGGATTATGAACATCACATGAACCCTAGAACATGGCATTTATCCTAGATTTTCATGGAATCAGCTTACATGATTAGTTATGAACCTAACCACATGTTGCTAAGGAATGAAAGAAGATATGGCAGTCATCCTTATCATTCTCAACAGAAAGAAAACATAAACAAGGTAGCTAAGTGGTGGAAATGTGCCCTAAAACCAATCATATGATGATACTTTACGGACATTTCACATGTTAAACTAATCTAGTTTAATATAAAGGGCAAATGTTATTGTTTTAAGCCGTCTCATATAAATGTTATATATTTAAACGATAAGTCCAAGGAATATGTAATTGGGAGAATGTAATCTAAAGAAGTTAGATTCTTGAGACCATTCTCTTTCGTATACATATCCTAAACGTTCTTGATCATAGGATTGCCAATTGGGCATTGACAGTCCGTTAAGATCAGTACGTGCTATGTCTTCTCTTAGGGAGAGTGACTAGTCTCAAGTCATTGATGTGACCGACACCAGGATAAGTATGTAGGTGCTTAATAGAGAATGAGTCCACTGAACACGATTAACGAGGAGTTCTCGTACTCATGTCACATGAGAATTCATGGTTGGGATAATGCAAAGTAGTCCTTTGACCTGAGGCATCATAGTTGTCTTGTGGTTAGGTCTTTGATCTTTGAGTATGTCAAAGTCACTCCGTTAGAGGGTGTCCACGACATAGTTTGGGTTAAGCCATTTATCCATGGAGGCAAGTGAATGCACAACAAGGGATCTCTAACCTTCACACCATTTGAGGGAGAATACTCTATGATATGATTAAGAATCTCTGGCCAGAGTATGAATGAGATTTAGGAAGTCGTTCCAAATCACATTCAAGGTAATCATATAAGTAAGAGAATCACATGGGATAGTAGACATGAATCAACTATCAAACTAAACAATGTGGTCAAGAGTATTGTATTAGAGAAATGCCGTATTGCATTGTAATTCTAAACTAAATAGGTTCTCCACCTCTTCTGATTAGCTTGGGTAGCCATGACATACTGCTAGGTGTCACTCATGGTTTGTGGAAGCCCTAAAGATGAGTAATCACTAATTGGAGAATTGAAAGTATGTTTCAATTCACAATCGATTTGAAGTGTTATAATCGCCCACTGCCTCGCTAAAAGGAACCTAATGGATCGTACACCGTGTAAGGTAGAGATTGAAGAAACAATGGAGATGAGTAAGGATAATTAAATGGCTTAATTATTTATGGTTAGGATTAATTAATATGTTAATTAATCAAACAAATAAGTTCGTTATAGACCTCGGGTTTGTTTTGGGCCGCAAGGCCCAATGGGATTTGAATATTAAGCCCATTAACATAAGTTGTATGACAACTTATTGACTTAAGACCCAAAAGGGCCCAAACAGCCCATAGCTCTAAGAGGCCGGCCGTATAGAGAAAGAAAGGGTTTTGGTTCTTTTAGTCACTTAATTGAAGGGACTATATAAAGGACTTTATAACCATTTCATCATTAGGGTTTCGTTTGGAGAAAGGATGAGACCTCAAGGCTCTCTTTTCTCTCCAAGAGGCCAGCCACCCTAGAAGAAATTAGCTAGGAATCTTACTTCCTCTAGGTCACTCATCTTTTCATCAATGCTCTCCTTGGTGTGGAGACTTAGAGGTTCCCTTTCTTGGGAACTTGGAGAATCCATTCCACCATCCTTCTCCAAGAAATCCATGGAGCAAAGAAGTAAGGAACGAAGGCACTATCTCTTGGGTGATTACCCTTTGCTTATGCAAAGAGGAATCAATAAAGGTATAAGATTTCTCAACTCACTTTGTTCTTGAGTTGAGTCTTGATTCACCACACTCACTAGGCCTTAAATTTCATGCGTAAATTTTTTTTTTTTTTGAGTGCATATAAGCATGATTCCGCCTTTTAATTGTTAATAGCATGCATAGATGTTGCTCAAATGAACTAGATTTCACAAATATTTCCTTCACTAAGCTTGAAAATATGTGCTTGAAATGATTGAAACAGAAAACTGATTCTAGCTTGCAAATAAAATTGATAAACTAAAGTTGCATCATAACATTAATTCAATCATGTCTAGGGCTTCAAAGCAGCCCTAAGTATCCATAAAAACAAAATACATAAAAAGTCAGGAAAGCTAGAACATAGAAACTGCTCAAGGTTGAAGACTCCTGCTCTCTCTCCAGATTCTATGTTTTTCTCCCCCTCTTTCTCCTGATTCTCCTCCTTTTCCTCCTTCTGATTCTGTGTATTTTTCTCCTATTAAAAGGCTTAGGAGTTTTTCTAACATCTGACATATTTACATCCTTGAATTGACTCTCATTTATAGCTCATTTCAATTAGCTTTTAGTATAAGAGTAACTGAAAACTAGCTGTGATCAGAATTTGTATATGAACAGCTCCTCTTTATTCTACCATAATTTCTTGTCGAAACCTCCAAATCACAACCTGTAAATACCATCAGAAAGAAGACTTCTAGGGCTTTCTAACAATATATGGCCCATTTTCTAATTCATTCTGAATACTTTGAGGCAAAGCTGGCAAGTTAGTTGTTCTGCAGGGACCTTTTCTGGCGGATCTTGGGTCATTTGTGGGCTATGGTCTGGTCTTGGGCAAGTTGGGCTTCAAACTATCTATTATAGGCTCTTAAAATATTCAAAATAAGATGATTTCTTCAAGCCTTATTTTCATCCTGAAATACAATATAAACAACAAAATACCTTGTGATGCATAGAGATTTTAAGTCAAAAACCTAAGTAAAAGAGGGCATAAAAGTATAACTTTATGCACTCAGCATTGGCCTCTCTATCAAATGGATGTCAAAAATGCTTTCCTACATGGTGAGTTAGAAGAGGAAGTCAACATGAAATTGCCACCTGGGCACTCACAATCCTATGATCCAGACATGGTGCGTAAACTTCATAAATCCATCTACAGATTAAAGCTATCCCCACGGGCATGGTATGCTAAACTTAGTTCAGTTTTTGGGGAATTCGGCTTCCAAAGAAACAATGCTAATTCATCACTCTTCGTTCGAATTGGTTCTGTGGGAAAATTGGTGGTTTTGATTTATGTTGATGACTTAATAGTGACAGGTGACAATGGTGAAGAATTTCATTTTCTTAAGCAAGCTCTTCAAAGAAAATTTGCTCTTAAAGACTTGGGAAGACTCAAGTACTTCCTAGGTATTGAGCTTGCTACATCCCAAAATGGGCTTTTCCCTAACCAAAGAAAATATGTCCTTGATCTCTTAAAGGATGCTAACTTGGAGGATTGCAAACCTGCACGTACCCCTCTTGACAACAAACTTCACCTCAGTACACATGGTGAAGCTCTCACCAATGTCATTGAGTATCAAAGGTTAGTAGGTAAACTTATATATCTTACTATCACACGACCTGATATCGCCATGCATATTGCCTTTAATCCTGCCTTTCACGAGAGAACAAAACATATTGAAGTCTATTGTCACTATGTTCAAGCACAAGTGCAATCCAAAGTCATCACCACTCACTATACACGCAGTCATGATCAGTTGGCTAATATTTTCACCAAGTCCTTTCCTACTACTCAGTTTTACGGATTTTGTCCAAGCTTGGCTCAAGGAATCCCCTTGATCCAGCTTGAGGGGGCTTGTTGGAAGTTGGAGGTTATCGGGACTCTCATTGCTACAATCCTTGTCAGTTAGGTTTAGTGTTTTACCCAACATATAATTCTCAACAAGGGTTTAGGGTTTTATCCTGGATACCTAGTCATGTTGTCCTTTTTCCTTCAATTAAGCAACTTTGCTTTCTTGTTATTGTAAATAGATTAGGAGTGTTTCAAGGAGTGATTAAGGGAGTGATTAAAGTCTGTTTCTTCACTCCTCTCCTCTATATATGTTTCAGTCCTTGTAACGTGTTCTTTACATAAGATATACAACATCTCTAAATTTCATAGTAGATAATATTGTTTGTTCGTAACTTTTACATTGGCATGATGTCTAATATAAAAATCCCTACAAACAGAAAATACACCCCAAATGTAACTTCAAAACTAATAACAATAACAACTTGTCGTCCAGTTCTCCCAACTCAATTGGCTAATACAAACTTGTTACCACAGCGCACAAACCCCATGATGCCAGTCCGTGAATCATTTCAACCCTTACATCTGCAGTTGCATTATTCTGTTTACGCACAAACCCCATGATTGCAGAGAATCTCACTCATTGTTATCTAAGACAATGTATGGTTGTGCACCTGCAATGCTCAGTTGTATACTTGCTAATTCCTTCACAAAACATATTTAAAGGTAAAAGCTTTTATAAAACCAATGCAAGCTTTATACAACCTTCAATAAAAAAAATACAAAGTTCAGTAGAAAAAAATAAAAAAAAATAAAAATTATCACCTGTTGTTCCATGAATTTGTTCCGTTCTTATCGAACTTGACAGTGAAAGAACTGTGGAAATAAATAAATAGAAAAGCCGGTTATCAAAAGAAAAAAGGGAAATAGATGGGATCATATCAGAAGCATCGACTAGCACAACCAAATATAATTTCTACAATCTGTTCACAAAGGATATCACCAGAAAAACCACAATTTAGCACTCATCTGGTAATTTGATATTCCAACTCAATCTTACATTTCCACTTTGTAATTCTGAATAATTTAATTTATATAAAATTTGGTTTTCTCTAGAGGGATACCAGAGAGATTGACGTTAGATAAATAGAATATAGAAAAGAAAAAACCTCAATAGTCTAAATAAGAACTAGATTACTTGGGTTTTCCTAAAGATAATGCATTGTCCAATTAGTTTCTATGCTTTACAAAAACAATAACTTACTCGAACGAAACTCAAAAAGTCTGGTAGGCGGCCACTGAAGAAAAGTATTTGCTTATTTTTGTTTGTTTCCAAATTGATTGGGTGCGTGTGTGAAGTGTCCAGTGTGATTGCTCAACCTCTTTTGTCGTTTCGATGGACTGAGACTTGATTTCGAATCTTTAACAATGACTTTTGTGGGTATCACTATCATTTTTCCGAAGCCCGTCTGGAAATGGGAGGAGGGGATTCTCTTCCCTCCTAATCTTTATCTCCTTCTCTCTCCTCCTACTTGAATGTTACGGTTAAACCACATCAATATTTTATATTGATTTTTTTTATTGAGAGAATAAGATAAAAATCAAAATGTGAGAGAAGAGGAGGAAAAAGGATGAGAATAGAAGATGAGAGAATCCTACTCCATGAAAATGTGGAATCTTCAGAATATCCGAGCTCTCATTCTCTATTGTAGATAAAATCAAGGATTGCCATAAAACAGTAATACGATATGGAATCGAGAGTTGGAGAGTTGTGAAGGAAATTTTGTGAAAAAACATGTTCATTTGAGCAACATCTATAGCATGCAATTAACAATTAAAGGCGGAATCATGCTTGCATGCACTTAAAACAAAACATTACCCATAAAATTCAAAGCCTAGTAGTTAGGTGAACCAAGACTCAACTCAAAAGAAAGTGAGTTGAGAAATTTATACCTTTGTAGATTCCTCTTTGCAAAAACAAAGGATAATCACCCAAGAGATAGGGCCTTCATTCCTTGCTTCTTAGATCCATGGATTTGGATGGAAGAATAGGTTTCTCCAAGTTCTCAAAATTGAGAACCTCTAAGTCTCCACACCAAGGTAAGATTTTAAGAAGAAATGAGTAACCTAGAGGAAGTAAGATTGCTAGCTATTTTCCTCTAGGGTGGCCAGCCTCTTTAGAGAGAAAAGAGAGCTTGTGTTCTCATCCTTTCCCCAAAAGAAAACCCTTAATGAATTTTAGCTATAAAGTCATATTTATACTTTCCTTCATTGGAGTGGCAAACTTGTAATTAAAGCAAGTTCACTACCCTCCTCTAAATGGCCGGCCTTAAGGGTTTATTGGGCTTTCAAGCCCTTTGTTTATTCAAGTTGTCATACAACTTGAGTTAACGGGTTTTGAAGGAAAAATTTTGTCTTAGCTAAGAACAAGTAAGAACATTTGAATACATATGAAAACTATTAACACATTAAAGTAGGCATGCATTCAAAAACAATTCATAAAACCCATGACTTTCAAAGCCTAGTGAATGGTGAACCAAAAGACTCTTTAACAACATTAAAGAGAATGAAGAATTTAAAGATTCTTTACCTTTGAAGCTCATCCTTGTTTACACAAGGGATTCACCCAAGTGGAGGGCCTTCAAGTCACCTCCAAGCTTCTTGGATCTTACTTGTGATTTCCTTCTCCTTTTTGCTCCTTTGGTCCTTGAGGATGTGAGGAAAGGATCTCCAAAACACCAAAGGTTTGGTGTCTCTAAGTCTCCACACCAAGGGTGAGAGTGTGAAGATGAAATTGATGACTTAGAGAAGAAAAGATTGCTAGATAAATGTCCTCTAAGTGGCCGGCCTCTGATAGGAGCATATTTATGCGCCTTAGTTAGCTAGTTCTTATGCATTTATGTTGTGTTTTCTTAGTTAAAGTAGTCTTTTAAGCTATTTTCATGTGTTTTCAGGTTTTAGAGACAAAGTGAGCAAAAGGATGCAATTTGGAGCATTTTGGAGCAAAATTGGGCTAGAATGGAGTTCATGCACATGAAGCACAAGGGATGGACGAATTTGAAGGATTGATGAAGCTAGGAATGTGTTTTGAAGTTGAAGAATTGAAGATACAAAGATTCCTAATTGAAGTGGGAAAGTGCTTAATTGAAGATGAAATCCTAGTTGAAGATGGATTCCTAGTTGAAGTTGGATTCCTAGAAGATTGAAGTTTCCTACTCAAACAAGGTTTCCTACTTGAAGAAGGGAAGTTGAAGCCAAAGAATCAACTCAAGTGAAGAAACCTTATCCAAAACATTATCCAATCCTATCCTATCCAATCCTATCTTATCTTATCCTATCCTAATCCTATCCTAATTTAATTCCAGCTGCATGGGGGATTTATTTTCAGATTAGGACACATTAAAATTGGTTTCTAGAAGCCCTTATCCACTCCTACAAAGGTGCCACACCTTATCCCTTGTTTTTTCTAGAAATCAGCCACAAAACAACCTTTCTAGAAGGCCTTATCCCTTGTCCTACAAAAGTGACGCCCCAAACCTTTCTAGAACTTCTAGAAACCTGATTATTCCTTTCCCCCTTGGTTTCTAAAAGCCTTAGCCTTTTCCTTCAAGGATTGTGTGTTATTATCCTATACAAATTAGGCTTTTAAATCCTTTTCCTTTGCTACATAGGGGCTGCGAATTTCAGCCTATAAATACCATCCTTTGCTGCACCATTTAGTCACCATCCTCAACCATATTTTCACTACACCATTCACCCAAACATACCTTGTGTGCCGTGAGTTTGCAAGGAGAAGAAGGAAGACAACTTGGAGCCGTGCATGCCATTCAAGGAGCTTGGATTGTGGAGCGTTTCTAGGTGTTTTCTATCTTTGTTTTAATGTTTAAATTTATTTATCTTTGTTTATTTGTGAGTATGAGGAACTAAACCCCCCTTGGCTAGGGGGGGATTCGAAACCATGATTATGCTTGCTATATGATTTGATTACTTCTAATTGCGTTTCATAAGTTGTGATTTCAATTTGCTTATCTATGTGAATTAAAACTTATTCTTGTATGTTGATTGAGGGTCGACACTTAGTTTGCATGCATGAATTTGATGCTAGGATATAAAGGGAATTTCACCTAATCGTTATGAACTTATATTCACAAGTAGTAAAGGTTGTTGATCACAATCGTGTTAAGTAAATTCTTGGCATAAGTTTCATGCAATCATAGTAACAAGTGTTTCGTCAATGCTTATGGTTTTCATAGAACTTAATGATTCTTGCTTGTATCTCTATTATGCAATCATGTAGGGGACTTGTGGGGAATGCTTTGGGTTGTCGTATGCAATCATCCAATTCAATAACATTAGGAAAATCTGAAGGTTAATTTAAGCGGACCTAATTAACTTGGGGCGTTGGGAATTCATGGTTTATTGAAAAGCAATTAGAGATCGTTTTATATGCAAGTGTGACATGTGTGGAGATGAACCCCTTAGCTAGCCTTCCATCCATCCATTTAAACCAAATTCGTTTTAGAGTCTTTTCAATTTACAAAGTTTTGTTTTGTTTTCAAAATTCGTCCAAAATCAATCCCCCTTTAGTTTTAAGTGTCATATTAGTTAGAAACCCATTTAGTTTGTGTTTTTAGGTGTCTTGAGTCAAGTTTAAACCAATTTTCGTCCAAATTCTTCCCTAGTGTCCAAAACTGCCCAGAAAGTGGTTTTAAGGCAGTTTTGAGTGTTTATTTGCTGTTTTGAGTCTTTTGGTTTGTTTTAGTGTTTTAAAGTTTAGTTTTACATTCTTTAAGTCTAGTTAGTGTTTTAAACTTGTTTTTACGTTTTGAGTCAAGTCCAAGTGATTTTGCAATCCCTCCTAATCCCCGGCCTAGAACGATCCCTACTTACATACTTGCTACAATTGATAAAAAGATGGTTAATTTGAGTGTCAACATAATTTTCACATCAAATGTTGGCGCCGTTGCCGGGGATTAGCAAAGTTGCTAATCCCTTGGATTGTTTTATTTCAATTTGTTTTATTTGTGTCCAGATTTTGACTTTGTTTTTGTTTTGTGTTTTTAGGTACTAGTTTATGACTCGGAGCTCTCATCCGGTTCGTGAATACATATTGGACTTTGACGACGATTTTGAATGAGAGTTGAGACGAAAGAGGAAGAATCCAGAACCTAGTGAATCAAGTTCAAATTCGGAAGCCGAAGTTGAGATTGAGGAAGAGGAACCCACGGCACAAGTGGGTGAAGTTGAGACAGTCATGGCACAAGACAATCGTACAATCAATGAGCTCTCGGCTTCAGGATTGGACAATGCCGCACCTCTATGTATTCAATATCCGGCGGCTGCCCAAGGAAAGACCGAGGAATTCGAGTTAAAGTCAAGTTTGCTACACCATATTCCGAAGTACCATGGGTTGTCCATAGAGGATCCTAACAAGCACTTGAAAGAGTTCGAGGTGGTGTGTTCAAGCATGACTCTAATCAATGTCGACGGGAGTATATTGAAGATGAAGGCCTTTCCCTTTTCTCTCATGGAAAAGGCGAAAGATTGGTTGTATGAATTAGCTCTCGGAACGGTCACATCTTGGGAAAGCATGAAAAGAGCTTTCTTGGAGAAGTTTTTCCCAACTTCTCGAGTCATCCTCCTACGAAAAAGGATAAGTGGAATTCAACAAGAAGAAGGTGAGTTTTTTCCTACATATTATGAACATTTTAAATCTCTTGTTGCTTCTTGTCCACAGCATCAAATGAAGGAGGAGCTTCTTCTACAATACTTCTACGAGGGACTTCTACCAATCGAACGACAAATGCTAGATGCCTCGGCAGGAGGAGCATTGGTGGACAAGACCCCCACGGCAGCAAAGACGTTGATTGCCAATCGAGCGTTGAACGCTCAACAATACGAAGGCGTTGGACAAAGAGGCACCCCACGGCAACACCAAGTGAATGAGGTAAGTGCCATAACCGAACTTCAAAATCAAATGGCTAACCTTACTACGTTGCTTTCTCAGGTTGTGGAAGGGCCAAAAGTTCAAAATGTAAGTGCGTGTGGTGTATGTTCCATGCAAGGACATCCTACGGACAAGTGCCCACAATTGATCGAGAACGGAGGGTGGGAGACCCTCAATGCTGTGGGCTTTGGGCAGCAATACCAACAAAGGAATGATCCCTTTTCTAACACCTACAATCCCGGTTGGCGTGATCATCCGAATTTC